GGAAAGTGATCCAGATCTTCAAAAACTTGTAGAGAGTTGTGTGTGTAAACAGATTCTTCTGTCTGAACAACCAATCTTCTCGCTACCCACAGTTCAAAGCTCTACTCAGTAAATTAGAGGAGGTGGTGACAGAAAATGGAGGTCACTTTACAAATGACATGTTTGAGGGAGCAGAGAATTGCATTCAGGAGATTCAGAAGCAGAAACTGTGAAAAACTGGAGCAGTTAAAGCAGAAGTAGAAAGGTGGCATTCTAACTGAATGGCAGAAAATAAACTGGAGCTTAGTCACGACAGGATGCTGAGCATGTTATATTTAATAAAGCATACATTGCTGTAGCCAAAATCATGGGGAAGGTTGTGGTGACTCCAGAAGAGGAAGAGTGCGCTATAAAAGAGACTGAAAGCATTGGAATCAGTCGCATAGATGCAGTAAGACTCGCAATTAAAGCCACTGGAAAACTAGCAAAACAGACAGTGTGCAGAGTTCAGTGAGAAACCTCAATAATGATCACATACACAAGACTATCGGCAAGCGCCTTCAACTAAACCGAGACAAAATTCTCTTCCCTGCATTTCATCTCTGCTTCAACTTGTTTTATAGTTTACCTTTCTAATAAGCCTGGCATTGTACATTATGAATATTGTTAGCTCTGTGAGGAATTGCTTCTATTCCTTTACTGCAGCTGCAGGTCACTTTGGGTAAAAGTGTCTTCTGAATGCATAAATGGGTAACACTTTATATTAAGGTTCCCTTTATAAAGGGTTTAAAAAGGTGATCATACATTACTAATAACTCATTTACAAATGCATTATAAATCACTGATAAGCAGTTATTAATGCATGCATAAAAAGGGTGATTTTAATGCAATACCTGCCAAATAGTGAGCCATTTTTAACTCGCATGTTATACATGCTTAATGAATATATTTATTCATACTCATTTATTCATTTCATATTCAATATTCATTTCACTCAAAACCAGATTCCTGATTTATTTCATGATGCAGCAAAAAAATGACTTTTATAGCAAGACTGCAGGGTGTTGGGTAACACTTTACATTAAGGTTTCCTTTATAAAGGGTTTATAAAGGTGCTCATAAACGAATAATAACTCAATTACAAATGCATTATAAATCACTGATAAGCAGTTATTAATGCATACATAAAAAGGGTGATTTTAATGCAATACCTGCCAAATAGTGAGCCATTTTAACTCACATGTTATAAATGCTTAACAGATATATTTATAAATACTTATTTCACTCAAAAACAGATTCCTGATTTATTTCATGATGCAGAAAAAAACATAGGGTGTACCGAAGGGTGTTGTATTTATGTTTTTCTCATTTATATCTCATGACTTGTGTCACTTTTCTTACAATTTTTCTTACCAGAAGCTACTCTGTACCTGACCCATGATTATCTGCAAAAGTGCATGATGCCTATCACAGTAATGATTAAAAACTGATAGGGGACATAAAAAACAACCACGACTTCATGAGATATTAATAATGAAAATTTTAATTCCAATATTAGTTACTTGGAAAGCTTGATGTTAAGTGAACAGCTGTGGACCATTTATTAATGAATTACAAACATTAGTAACCTGTCAAAGTTAACTTTAATGTAAAGCGGACACTAATAATTTATTTATTGATTATTATTGCACACACAGAACATGTTGGTATTTTTCTGGTGAAGTGTAGTTATTGTTGTTGCACTATATCAGTAAACAACTTTAAACTTGAAACAAAAAGATCAATCTTTTCTTTTGCAGCACATTGGAACATTACTGAGTATAACGTCACACAAAAAGTGGCTTATACAAGTAAACTCACATTAAACAATTCAGAAAACAATCAAGTATACCACCAAATTATAACTAAGCATCACATCTATACAATTGATGATTATTTGTTTGTATGTCCCCTATCAATTTTTTAAATCATTACTGTGATAGGCATCATGCACTTTTGCAGATAATCATGGGTCAGGTACAGAGTAGCTTCTGGTAAGAAAAATCGTAAGAAAAGTGACACAAGTCATGAGATATAAATGAGAAAAACACAAATACAACACCCTTCGGCCTCGCTAATATGAGTATTTTTGCTGCATCATGAAATAAATCAGGAATCTGGTTTTGAGTGAAGTAAGTATATATAAATATATTTGTTAAGCATTTATAACGTGAGTTAAAAATGGCTCACTATTTGGCAGGTATTGCATTAAAATCACCCTTTATATTCATGCATTAATAACTGCTTATCAGTGATTTATAATGCATTTGTAAATGAGTTATTAGTCATTTATGAGCACCTTTAAAACCCTTTATAAAGGAAACCTTAATGTAAAGCGTTACCAATAAATGTAATGTAAACAAAAATATGTGTGCTTTATTTCTCAATCATGTTTTTTAATTTATTTATATAT